CCCCCCCCCCCCCCCCCCCCCCTCCACCAAGGTGCCGTCCCCACCTCTCAAGCGGTCCCCGTCATCGCCTGCCGTGCTCCCGGTGGTATCCCTCCATCAAAACGCGCACGCACCTAGCTGCCAAACCACACAATTGCAGAGGTGACCATAAAGGGGCCAGCGACACCTCACCGGCCTGACCTCGAAACGATGACAATGGCAACTTTCATGCATAGATAGTTAAGCGGTCGGCAGGCTTGCTTTGCACATAGATCGGATCTGAGGTGTCACACCATAACTTGCACGTTGCATTGACAGCATTATCCAAGCCAACAGGGGCATCGATCTGTGGGGACTGGATCAGGCGGGGTGTTGTTGATCGAGTGCTGCTTCCCAAGACAACCTCGCTTGGGACACCGACGGCTCCAAATGTGGGAGAGAAACCAAGTTGGATTGGACGTATTGGGTGGACTATCTATCTGCCAACCAAACAACTGACTAGGATTTATCACCACGTCAGAAGCGACACGACGAGCAACTGATCCTCCGAGCAGGCTCCGTGAAAATGTGGCCGTATCTGTCCATTCCATAATCGAGGCTAGTATTCCCCCAATTTCGATGCCGAAAGGCGCGGGGCTGGGTCGATGATGCGGTAAATTTAGTCGAACAGACCGAAGCCCATGTCCTCGTCGGACTCCTCCTTCTCTAGAGATGCGAAAAGTGGTTAGTATGGCCTAGAGTAAGAGATGGCATGTCTGATGGATAGTGAACGTGTATAACGTACCCTCCTCCTTCTCCTCCTCCTTGGGAGCCTCGGCCGCGGCACCGCCGCCACCACCGGCAGCAGCACCGCCGCCGCCGCCACCACCGGACGGGACGGACGCCAGCTTGGACGAGCCCTCAGCGATGAGCTAGCGAGGAATTTCAGTCAGCAAGAGTAACACCCGCGATGGTGATTTAGTCCCGGGATGAAGTTGAGAGCCACAGGCCATACCTCGTTGATGTCCTTGCCCTCAAGCTCCGAGATCAGCTTCTTGAGGCGCTCATCATCGGCCTCGATGCCAACGGACTCGAGGACAGACTTGATGTCGCCGGCCGAGGGGGAGGCGTTGCCGCCGAGCCCAAGAAGAAGGTATGCCGCAAGGTGCTTCATTTTGTTGGTTTGATGCTGCCCAGATGCGCAAATGTCAGTTCAGTGTGTGCACCCGCGCTCGTCTCTCTGCGCAGCGGCTGAGGGAGAGAACTGACAGCAGTTCAGAGAACACGAGATATCAATCGATTTAACCGTTTCCGGAGACTGATTCTTCGAGTCCTGGAAAGTTGGCGATGTTGCAAATTTGCGAAGGTTGTGTCGTCAGGAATTCAAGGCGGGGCTGAAAAGTTGCGACAGGTATTTGTGTGGGCTATATTTCCCCTTTGCGCTTGCGGTGCAGTCACGTGCTCTTAGGGCGCCTTCCCAACCAGCTGTGTGCATCACCGGCCCCGCCTGTGAATCATCGCTCTGGGCTCCCGTGCAAGCTCGGACCTATTGAGAGCCACGGGCTGGTGAGCTGAGCGCCACCCATCGCTCTGTCTCCACATCCTTGCTTCATGGGTGTGCAGTGGTAGTGGGTCCCCTGACTCCCTCAGGACTGAGCTGCCCCCACCCAGCACTTCGACGTGGTCTGCGACCGCCACGAGTCTGCCAAGTTCACGCGCAGCGGGTTCCGTGGCAGACACAGTGCCAGCGCCAGACTGAAGAATCAAGCCTCGTTAGTTGCATAAACAGGAGGTACCCACCCTGCGACTTGGAGCCTGCCAACGGAGATAAAGGGCTCTCTGGCCTTCTAGTCCCTGCCGACTTCAGCTGGCCAATGTTGCCCGCGTGCGCACTGCTGCTTCCGGGCATGGAATTTCTTGACTGCCAACCCTTCCCTCTCTTCTCTCCTTTCTTTCCCTCCATCCGCCGCCTCCATTCGCTTCCTGCCACCTCTCACTCTGTTTCTTCATGGAAGGCCAACATGAGCGACGAGCTGGTGGGTCTTTCGAGGTGATGGACTGCCTGTTTGCATAACGCGACGCTTGTTCCCCTCTTTTCCTTCTGCTTCCAACGCAATCCAATCGAATCCAATCCGACAGAAGCCAGACTCTAGCCGACCGACACACTTCCCTACTTCATCAACCGGCCTACCCCTAGGCGCCTCTCTGTCTATCGATCCGTCTCACCTGGAGATTCGGCCGCATTACAGCGGCTGCTTGGTAGCTGCTGTGCTCATCAAATCCAGAGACTGCAGACGACGGGTCGCGTCTCAGGTCAATCACCATCAAACGCTGGGCTGTCTCTTGTCGGACGTCCACATCACTTGCATTCTGAACGGTCGGAGCGCCAGAGCCCGACTTGTGGGCTTTCCTCAAATAGACACGATGCCGGTTCGATTTCCCTCATAGAGAGACTCCTCTCCGAAATCCCGCCCCTTTGAACGCGATGGTTGACTGACTGATTTTTTCTCATTTACTAGATCGGCGATCTGCTTGCTTCGATAACCGGCGAGAAGCCGAAGTCCGCGCCCGCCCCAGCCAAAACTAGCTTGCCTCTGAAGCGAAAGGCTGAAGACGATGATGCTAGGAATCGCGTACAAAAGCTGCAACGCACCACGTCTGGCGCAGATGGTCGTTCACTTCCCGCCCCCCTAAAGGGCGATGTGACAGCTCCGTCTTCTGCGAAACATTCTACCAGACCAACATCTGATTCGGCTAGATTGAACTTGGGCAATGGGACGACAAGACCGGTGGCATCCCAGCCACTCCGATCTCGACTGGCACCATCTACGGGACCGAGAGTAAGCTCTCAGCAGACCCCCGACAGTGTTGCCACGGTTAAGTCGGCTCCCAAAAAGGGATCATTCGCCGAGATCATGGCCCGCGCGGTGAAGGCACAACAAAGTATGGGCCAGGTGGGCAAGATCCAACACAAGCCACTCGACAAAGTACCACCGAAACGGGGTGACCGCCCCGACAGCAAAGCGGATGGCTCACGCGACCCCAGGCGCAAGAGCAAGGGTCAAACCGCGCTCAGTGCACATAGCCAGCGAGGTGGCATGAATGGCTCTGCTGCTAAGAATGGTGATCGAAACACGGACAGGAGGCGTAGCCCTGGGCCTCCGGCATCCAGGACTGGAGCCAGTGACAAGAAGGAGGCTGCCCCAGCTGTGGAAGTCAAGAAGGTCAAGAAGGCCGCCGTCGCCACAACGGGCTATCAAGGTACCGCAAGGCCGCCTCCCGGCGCATCATCCAAGCGAGGAACCGGGGCTACTGTACCGGCCAGTGGGAGCGCCAGACACAGTGCTGATCAACGCCGACATGTTCCCTTCGGCGGAGCGAGAAGCCGCAGTCGCCGCCACGATGAATATGAGGAAATGGATGACTTCATCGACGACGATGAGGACGATCCCGAGGAGCCAGGATACCGGTCAAACCAATATAGATACGCTTCGGAGGAAGATGAGTCAGACATGGAGGCGGGTCTATCTGACATCGACGAGGAGGAGCGCGAGGCCGAAATTCTTGGCCGTCGCGAGGATCGCGAGCAGGAAGCACTGGAGCAGAAGCTCAAGCGAGAGAAGGAGGAGCGGAAACGCCGTTTTATGCAAGCCGCCGCCGCAAAGCGGCGGTGAGCCGAGTCGTTATGCAATCCGACCATTCCTTTCAGGCTCATACAGGACCAGGTTCAGCCACAGTCGTCCGTTGGTCCAGTCTTTCCCTCCACCTGCATCCACATGGTCACCGTGACCTTTGGCCGTCCAGATCCTAATTTCATTTTGCTTTACATCGGTTCCTCTGGTTTAATAGCGTTGGCCTTTCGCCACAGGCCTAAGGTCCTACTTTCATCATGACTGAGGCTTTGCTGTTGACTGTCGCCATTCACGCGATCACTTGCTACGTTTGGTCTACTTGCGATATATTTTTCGGGGAGTTGATTGGTAGCATAAGCGATTGGTGTTGCACATGGTTTTACACCCTGTGGCCGCTTCAAAATCAACATGTTTTAATCTCCTCAATTTTTTGTTCATGGTGTTAGCCCACTGAGAAAATGAACTATATGGCCCAAGGTCACGTCTTTCAGTGTAAATAGCATATAGTACGAGATACATGGGCGCCCCAAGGGCATCTCGGATTTCTTAGAACTTGCCAGATGATTCGCATGTGGCAAACTGAATCTGTCGTGTGGAAAAACCAACACCGTCGTGATAACTAGACAACCCGAGAAGGCACCAGAAATACTTTGGCCAATCATTTCCTTAAAACGACTGGCTTTCTGCGGCGGGGCATTTAGGGCTTAACACAAGGACCGCAAGCTATTTGCGGGGTGGAAAGCAAACAAAGTTCAAGGCAATCATGGCTGAAATAACAACGAGTTATGCGGGAGACATGGGCCGGGACCAGGCCGCGCGAGGAAGGGTGACAACAACTAAATCTATGAAACTCAAAAGAAACAGAAACGAGGGAATGAGGCAAGGGGAAAAGCAGTAGCAACTGGGTGAAGAAAAAGAAAGCGCGATATTAATCCCATTAGTGCAAATTTCAGAACCCAGATACTACTCCTTCAGCATGATGAGAACCAGCCAAACTTGGCAGCCCTCTCAGGCTCTTGCTGTTCGCTATCAACCAGTGAGCGGCTGGCCCGACTTGAAGCTCGATCCGCCCCAGTTAGGAGAGATTCAGGATTCGTCTTTGCTAAGACCGGTGTTGCCGAAGCCACTCAGATCCCATCCCTGATAGCGCCCCGAGTCATCCGGCTGCACCTGCGGCTGGCGGGCGGGGAGAGAATTTTCGGGGGTAGCCTTGGCTAGGGGTGGGGAAAGCGATGTCTCCTCTGTCTTGGACGGCTGTGTGGTAGTGGTAGAATGTTGCTTGGGGTGCCCCGACATAAGGCCCTTCTCCTTGAGATACTGGAGGGTCTTGACGATGGTGAGATCTTCTTGGTCTTTGTCGTTCAGCGTGAGGCGCTGCTGAAGGGTCATCCTGCCTCCATTCATCTCGCGCTCCTTCAAGGCGGCCTGGCGGACAGCGTCGTCGTGGACGAAGCGACACTTGCCTTTCTTACCGCAGATTCCACCAGTGGAGTAGTATTTGCAGTGCTTGGACGGGTCTGCCTTCTTGGATGGAGGCGGCACAAATGCCGCAGGGTCAGGACGCGAGGGAAGAACGTCGGGCTTTTCTGTGTCCGACTTGGAATCGTCAGAAGCCGAGGGGCTGCCAGTCACGTCTCTCATGTCGTCTCCTTCGTCTTGCTGTTCGCGCTTTCGCTTGATGCTCGACTCAACCTTTTCGAGCTGCTTCCGCAGCTTTTCCGCCTTGAGCTTTTGCTTCTCAAGCGACAACACGGCAGCACTTTTGCCGCCATCCTTCGACTTATCCCCACCGGCGGTGGCCGACGCTGCCGCTTTGGCCTTTACGCGTGCCTGTGTGGGGAAGCGAGCCTTTCGCTCGGCTATCCAAGCGGCGACATCGGTTGGGCTGTTGCGGCACGAAAGGGGCAGTTAGCACACGATGGGTCACAACGCAAACAATAGGCTCGGGAGGATGAGTCGAAAATATCCGGGGGTCATGGCTAGAATGGAAGGGCCACATACTTTGGAGCATCCGGGCCTATTAGCTCTACGAGCTTCTCCTCCTCGTTTGCGTCATCATCGGACTCCTCCCCGGGGGTGAGGCCCAGCGTGTTCGTCTTGCGCTTCTTCTTCTTCCCGGCGGACGCTGCATCAGGCTTCTGATGGTTGTTATGCGGTGTTGAAGGAGCCCCACCAGGCTTCTTGATATGGTGATTATGGCGCATCTTGTCGCCACCCATATGGGGTCGACCACGGCCGTTGGAAGAATGAAAGCCCCCTCTGCCATGTGCACGAGCACCGTGCTGCCCGCCGTAGTAAGAAGCGTCATAATGAACAGGGCCAGGCATATGGGGAGGGCCAGGGGGTGGGTACCCCTGATATGGCGGCGCTGGATAGGGGGCAGCGACCTGAGGAGGCCCGTAGGGCGCAGGATAGCCGTTACTCACTGGAGCAGGCTGCTCCTGGCGATTATCAAATCCCAAGCGAATGGGTGGGCCCATGGCCGCTGTGGCCTTGTGCCCGCCACGGTCTCCGTGACTGCCGCCGCGCCCACGCCCACCACCAAACTGAGGTCCAGCGGGCTGATGGCCCGTCGGGCCAGGGCCCCCCCATGGCTGATGGGGTGGTCCACTTTGCTGGTGAGGATACGGAGGATAGTGTGGTGTATAGGGCTGCTGCTGCGCCTGAGGCTGAGCTTGTGACGGCGGCTGTGGTTGTGCTTGTTGCTGCGTCTGTTGCTGTTGCTGAGGCTGTTGCTGAGGCTGTTGCTGCGGAGGCGGCCCGTATGGCGATTGGTGACTATACTGGGGCTGTTGGTATATCTGGGGGGCATAGTTGGGATGGTAATTATGCGCAGACAGAGGGGCATGGGGAGGCTAACAAAGTCCGCATCAGTACAAGTTCCGATTTGGGCCCGAGCAATGAAACGACGAGATGCCGTCGAGGTCAGAGCTTACTGGGGCGCCGTGAGGGGGGGCAGCGTAGCTGGGAGGAGGCGGATTGCCGTATGGGTACGGCATCGGAGAGCCATGGAAGTCGCCGCGCCCAGAGTGACCACCACGCCCGCCACGGCCCGAGTGGCCTCCATGGGAGTGGCCTGCGGGTGGTGGTGGCTGTTGTTGGTACTGGCCATACTGGGTGTATCCGGAAGAAGGGCCGCTGGGGAGCGCCGAAGGAGGGGCCGGTGGTGGCGGGCCGTAGCCGTACGTGGTCATCTTTTCGCAGGTCTCGGAGACGAGCTCGGATGATGTAGACGCGCAGAGCGGGAGGAGCGCGTGTCCGTTCAACGCAAGAAAATGGGGACGAGTACCGACGAGGCGGCAAGGTAAGATCGAATGCCTTGCACGCGAACTTCTTGAAGAAGCACAGCGCGCACAACCGTAGCAAACCTAGGCCGTGGTGGCAGTGCGTTACTTAGGCAGGAGACGACGGGGACGGTGCGGAAGGTAGGGACGCGAAGTCGAGAACCAAGGGGAATTGCACGGCCAACGACAGGAGGCAGATAGACGTTGCCCTCGGAGACAAGCGTCTAGCCAGCGGTGCAGGTGCTGAAAAAGCTTGTGAAGGTATCGCGTTGGGGACTGTCTCGGATTCGTGTGATAATAGGGTAGATGGACGTCCAACACACGAGATTGTCAGGATGACGTTTGGATGCCAGTGGTTTCGGTTGTGTTTTGTTTTTTCGAGTACGGCGTGAGGATTTATTCCTGGTGGTGGCCAGCGAGGCAAGTTCCCTGCAGGGCCCAGAGAGCAAAAGCCAGGAGACCCACATGCGCCGACCAGGGAGGGTCGGGAGGGAAAGGCGGCGGTGGGGCTTTCATTGCCCGCCTGCAACCAGAAGATCCTGCTGCGCAAGCAGTCAGCGGTATCCACTCCTTCAAAGAAGGCAGGCAGGCCAACGGCCCTTGGAGCCATCGCATCTGTCGCCCTCGCATCATAGAATGTGCCCAGAAGGAAGGAAATGTACAGAAGCTTGTATTAGGTATCCCGAATCACGTCTAATCCTGGAACGCCTCAGTAACCGCGAACATCCGACATGTTCATCCTCGTACGTTATTTCTCAAAACCAGCCTCTGCTCACTCACCTCAAGTTCGGCTGTATTCTTCCTTCCGTTCATCGTCACAACTTCTACTTTGCTTGTGTCTAGAGTATACATTGTACCCATTTTCTAGCCACTGGCAAGAAATTTTCTGACAAGCATCCAGACCAAGATCGCGGATCTTGTCCAGATCAAGCCAGCACAGTTTGCGAAGCTGAGCATCGATGCCATAGAGGACAACCTGAACGAAAAGTACTGCAATAAGGTGCGCCGGCCAACGCCAGCCCTGCTCCAGCCGCAAACTGGTATTCAAAGCGGTGGCTCATGGAGCGAAAAGCTGACTCCATTTCCAGGTCATTCAAAAGCTAGGCCTATGCATATGCGTGTATGACCTATTGTGGGCCTCTGAAGGCCTCATTGGACACGGGACAGGTGTTGTGAACGTCAATGGTATACATTTTTATAACAATCCACCATTCTCAGCCTTGTTCTATCTCGACCATCGCTTGGTCTCGTGTATTCTGCATACATCCAGGCTGACGTGCGCAACCCCTGTTTACCTGGATCCCAGTTGAGTGTCGCCTCGTCGTCTTCCGACCATTCAAAGGCGAAGTGCTGTTCGCGCGAATCAGCCGATGCGTGAAGGATGGAATTCACTGTCTGTAACCCCAAACAACTCCCGTCTTCGAACAGCCGATCAATGCTAACCATCGGAGGGATTCAGTGCGCACCGACTTCTTTGATGATATCTTCATTCCATTTGACGAGCTACCTGAAGGGGCCACCTTGTATGTCTCGTAAACTGACCCTGCTCCTACTCGCACAACATCTGACTGGCAGCCTCCCGATAGCAACCACGAACAGTCGCTCTGGGTCTGGCACGTAGATGGAGAGGACATGTACTATGACATCCACGAGGTTGTCCGCTTTCGGGTAAGCGCAGAAGAATGGCATGACCAGACACCGACGAAACCAATCGAGGGAAATGAGCCGCATGAGAAGAAACCGCCATACCGAATCACCGGCACAATGAAGGAGGAAGGCTTAGGGGTTTGTCTATGGTGGGGGGATGACGGCGACGCCGAGGCTGCCGAAGAGCCGGTTGACAACGGTGAGATTTGAGATACCTTACAGGGGTGCTGCAAGCTACAATTCCATACCCGCCTCGGAGCTCACTCCCTCGACTTGTTCTGGACCGTTGAGATTTGAGACCGAAGAACCGCCAGCAGCATCAGGACCGCCGAACCTGTTTGAGTAGTCTGTGCTCCACCTCGTCAAGAACCGAGTAGTGCTCGATGACGGCGAGGTTTTCAACCTCTGCCAAGAATTGTTTGTCAGGGTCAACACCTGGCCCGAACATCTGGGGGGCTTGTGGTCCCATCTGACCCATCTGCTGAGCCATTTGATTCGCAGCTAGACAGAATGTATGTCAGCCGTTGTGTGAGGTGTGGGGTAGCAATCCTTCTACAGCTTAGGGCAAGGAGATACATAATCACCATTTGGATGACGGGTGGTGACTTACCATTATCACTGCCAAGCAGGAAGTTGAAAACAGACTGCAAGCCGAATATGCACAGAAAATACCAGCTAATGCTCGACATCCATCTCGGATCCATGTCTCGGGTAGCGACGCCAGCCTGGAGCATGCTCTTGAACTTGACGGTGAGGGGGAAAGGGAGCTTCACTGCAACGGGGTCAGTCGAAAGCTAGATTAGGTGTCAGGAGGGGCTTGTGACGAATAGCGTACTAATGACATAGCCACTGAAAAATGTATTGATCCAGCTCATGATAAGCGTGTTAGGGATGATCATGGCCATATTGTTCTTCATCATGCCCATCATTCCCTCCATCGCATTGGGATCCGTCATGGGGTTCGGGGGCGCCTGGCCACGACTTTCTGGGGCCTTCAAGAAAGCACCAGATTCGTATGCGGCTGTTAGGGTGTCACGGCGCGTGTTGAACGATCGTTTTGACAGAACGTGGTAGTTGCTGCGTATCCCGATACCGTGCAGTAGAGATCGTTGCTCCCTCATTGTCTTGGCCTCAAGCCGTTTGGGCGATGGGACCATAAGCACGGCGGCGTAATGCCTCAACATGCCGGTGAGGATCTGTAGGTAGCGGGCGCGTTAGAGGGGGCACATCCGGCGCGGGTGATAGGATGCGGCTCACCATGACAACAGTGATCGGGATCAGAATCCAGTAGCTGATTTGTCTCCCGTTAGCTCGCGCATCCCTGGCTGGTGCCATGCATCGCACGTTTTGGGAGTCGAGACGGAACGGCATCCATGGAGGCGCTGGCGTACAAGAGCTGGGGATCCCTATGGATCGTCTGTGCAGGAATTTGCACAGCCATGGTCTGATCGGTGTCTCGTCGACTGATACTGGCGGGGATGAGAAGCGAAGTTCCCGGTAGATGGGTGGTATTTTATATGCCTCCAGCACCGCATGGACTTGTGTCGTCAGGGCCTCGGGACATTTGACGTCGAGGACAACAGGGCGGCAAGGCTATGGCTGTGTGGGGCAGCGCAGCGGGCAGTAACGGTTGGGACCCACCCTGGACAAAGCTTCTGGTGGTGCGTGTGCGGGCCCTTGGGAGGCCGGTGGCCTATGAGAACTGTGGAATCCGACCACGTATGGTGGTGGCCGCGGCCGGGCGCACGCCGACACAGAACCTCGCACCTGGTTCGACGAGAGCCAACCTGTTTCGAGTTCAACCACCAACGAACAAAGAAGGCTGCTTTTTCGCATCGCTTGGATCCTCGCCAACGGCAAAATGGCGGAGAAAATCACAGTTTATAATCTGGCAGGTAAGGGAGCCATCCCGGCCAGCGCTATAGTCATGGGCAGACGCCTCCTTGCTCGCTTTCTCGTGCTGACAATGCCGCTCTAGATCTCAAGAACACGTCTGACGATGCTATTCCAAACTACCTGAACTCCCTCAAGTTCAAACAGTCACACGCCCTCACCGACGTCCGTCTGGGCCTCGGCTACGGCGCCTTCCTGGTCGCCGCCGCCTGCTTCCTGTGGGACTACAAGCTTGGGTTTGAGGGCACAAAGTACTACACTGCTGCTGCCGTTGCCCTCTATACGCTTCTCAATGGCGCTCTCACCGTCTGGATATGGGGGGTTGAGAGGGGGATTGTCTATGTCGGTACTGCGCCCAGCGGGGAAAAGGTTCGTCTCGACATACCTACCACCCATTTCACGACCACCCGCGCGTGGCAGCCTCTCTCCCGTTTGCTGTTCGTACCCAGACTAACCTTTTATATTCAAAATGAAGCTCACCATATCGTCGACAACCCTGAAGAACGACCCTACCTACAGGCTCACCATCTCAGTCCTTCCCAAGGGCTCCGCTGCAGCACAAAGTCTAACGGTTGCGAAGGGCTTCAACGAATGGTTTGACTCAGCAGGTCACTTCATTGCGGCGCCATTCCAAACCATGCTGGCCACGGCTGTGCCGGCGATTGGGAGACTTGACTCCAAAAGGCTTCAGGCCGCAACGCCCTCTTCTATACCTTCAGACTCGCAGAAGTACGACGCCGAGGTGCTCGACGCGTTGCTCGTGGCTTCCACCTCGGGCGCCACAACCGGCGCCGAGTCGGGTATCACCAAGAAGGGCGGAAGTCGGCGGAAGGCTTAGAATCTCAATCGCTGGCTGCAGTCTGGTTGATGATATAACCAGCCCGGCGCAACCCCGAGAGTTTGTTTTACTCTTAGCCAGACCCCGATAAAGCCGAATGCAATGGAACTTCAACCTGAAATCCATTCGTATGACTGTCCACTGTCTCGCTAGTCACTGCCCTCCGGAGTTGCGCACACTTGGCGTGCCGAGTATGCTTAGTCTCCCGTGCGTATACTGCAAGATTGGGCGCATGAATGTCCGTTTCTTCTTGCCATATGAATACGTGATTCGTCTTACGCTATTTATAGTGCGGTCCCCTGCATGTGCCTCTCCCTAGGCCCGCCCCCTGCCTCTGCATGTGGCTACCTAGTGCTGGCTTATTCTTGCCCAGCTGCGCCGAGCAGCGAGAGCAGACTGCCTGACTTCTCGGACAGGATCGCCACATGCATCTCCTAATACACGAGACATGCTTGCCGAGTACTGCCCAAGAAGTCCCTCGTCGAAGCTCTGCGCCAGGTCCTTGAGCAGCAGAAGAACCGCGTCCCGACAGCGGGCAGGGCTTCCTTCCCTTCGAAATCTGGCGGGAATTTCCAGCCCCGCCACCAGCCCAGGCGACTGCTTCAGCCCACACTTCAGTGCTTCGATGGCCCCTGATACAACTGCCTTAATCTGACCCTTCATGGTCCCTGGGCTGTGTTTGAGAACCTCTCGAAGCACGTCTAGCGCGGCTTCGATGTCCCCGTAGTTATGGAGGGAAGAGACGCCGGCGATTGCGACGCGAATGACTGTCTCAATGTCTTCCTCGTATACGCAGAAGTCCATGTGTTTCAAGATCCGGATGACCGCGATCGCTTGGACCTCACCCTCGGGCTTCTCCTGGGTGATTGGGAACGAAGATTGCAGTTTGGAGCTGGCAAACCTCACGTAGAACCACTGCTTGTAAAGAGGCTTGATGACGGCGTGGTTCTCGGGCTCTAGTCGGTCTTTGCACGACACGAGATCTTCTAGACGCCGCGCCATGTACTCCCCATGTCCAAAGGATGCCGGGAGGGCCGAGACAAGGGTAGCAAGTTGATCAATGTCCTTGTCTCTCCTTGCAATAGCGCCTGCGAGCACAGCTAGGATCCTCAAGTAGCGCTCCAGGCGCATTCCGGTGCTGGCCTCCTGGGCGGCTGACTCGAGGGAGGAGATAACAGCCTTCCATGCCTGTCTCGCGGGGGCACTCACGCTCGAGCCCGGAATCCATTTGTTCGCGATGACCGTGAGAATGCAGTCTCGGACCTTTTGCGTTCTTTCCGGAAAGGCCTCGGCAGTTGTAACATCATGAAGGATTCTTTCCGCAAACACCTCAAGCTCCGGCTGCCGCGTCATGCCAAGTCAGCTTCTCCGATCGCAGCAGTACGGGGTACCCCTGGGTTCGGCTCACCGTTTGGGATGAAGGAAACGTGCGCAGGCCCCTTAGAAGACCAAGTGATAGAACATTGGCGCGCCCGTCGTCGTGTGGACTCAACCATGTAGTTGGTGGGTGGCCAGCTCCAAAAAGGTTGAACGCCTCCTCTGGTATCTGCAGTGACTGTTGTTCCTCTAGCTCAATATCACGGACTACGAAAGTCGCCATATCTGCGAGTTGGTGCAGATAGATGTCCTGCAAGTCAATATCGTGAGCGATTGCCGCGCTCGGATTGTTATCCGCGTTCCGGAAGTCCAAGCTAAGCCGCGGTCCGGGGGCTGGATCGGCGACATAGGCGGTGGCGCGATGATAAAATTGAATGAGCACTGACAGGGAGCATTCAAGATACTCTCGGAAGATATCAGAGGTGGCTGCCTGGTCCGTTTCATTTCCTGATTCGGACCCAGATTCGGGGGCCAGCTGACTGGTGGTCAAGGGAAGCTCAGGAGAGGGATAATCGAAACCAGCCGTTAGCCGCGCCCAGCTATCTGTGATCATACCACGTCGTACGAGGAAGCCTTTGCAGTGACATGCGTCCCTGAAGAGCATTAGAGCGTTATAGACGGCCGATACTGCGATGGTAGGAATGTCGAATGGGACCCTCTGGTCAAGATACGAGAAGGTGAGCTGCTGCGTTGACAAGACAAAAGAGCGCAAATGTTGCAGGGGGTGACCGGAGGAGGGCAGACTGGAGCAGCCAATATATGAGAGCCTCAGTAGTAGCGTTTTGAGCATGTCTAGGGAGCTGCGCGATGGCCGGTCTCCCCAACGTCTGTCCTGGATACTGGGCATAGCCCTCTGGAGCATGGTGGAGTAACCAGAGGGGTAGAAACCAACGATGTCGCGGAGGGCAACCACAACAACGTCTGCCAGTTCCTTGCGGAGTCCTGTGTCTGGCGACGATGCGAGGTTGAATATGTTCACAATGCGGTCAGATATCATGGCACATATCTGATCGCACTCACGGTCGCTACACAGTAGGACGGAGGCGCTAGCAACAGCCTGGGCTCCAGGTTGGCAAGCCAGGGCAGCTAGACCTCGAGCCGTCTCCTTGAGCGTCGCGACATGGTCGGTATCGGGGTTCTCGACGTTGTTGTCCTTCCAAGAACGAGTGAGAGTGGCGTATACACGTTCGAGCACAAGCGAGTCGAGCGCTCCAAGATCACGAAATGACCCGGATTGGTCCGCGCCAGGGGCAGATGCGCGAACTAGACGGGCTCGCGAGTCTAGAAGCGAGGCTAAGAAGCCGAGACACGTTCGAGCATGTCCAGACGTCCTTGGATCTCGAAGGTTCGCAGCGATAGCGTCCAGGGTACTAGGAAGCATCAGCGCAAGTGACTTCGCGTGAGCCCCCATCACGCTCTCGAGGAGGAGGCCGGCCTGTTTAGCATATGAAGGGTTGGCGAGGTCCTCGAGACAGTCGCCCATAACGGTTGTCGTAAATTTCTCGAGCGGCCCCTGATCCTGAGCTACCACGGCAGGCGTGGACAAGGGCATGGTAGCGAGTCTGCTTGACAGCGTCCGCATGACACCAAGGGTGCTGTTGAGAATCTCGTGGACTTCCCCGTTGCGGACCTCATATTTAAGGGAGTTCCAAATCTGGTTGGCGAAGGGTGCTATGCCTCGAGATGGGTGTTGGTATCGCTCAAGACACGAATCCAGTGTTTTTAGTATGTCCACCTGTGCTAAGGGTTAGTAAACCATGATCGACTATAGCGGTTGACGGGGTTACTTTCCTTGACCGGGACTGTGATTGCGTCTCCTTGGTCCAGCTTCTGAATTAGAAACGGTAGGGAGAGTTTGGCCAATTTCTCACTCGCAGAGAAGCAGGTCCGGAGAGAGAGCTTGAGATCATCGACTGTGACACCGGCAGGGTTCACGGAGCTTCTCATAGATATGGGGAAGTATGCGGAGAAGGATTTGAACAGCTCTTCATCCACGTCGGATGAAAAGTTGAAGCTGCGGAGTAGGCCCTGCAGAATTCCAAACCACTGGAGGAGGCAGCTAGGGTCTCTCTCGTGGTTACAGAGCTGCAGGAGATCGAGGGCGAACCCACCGGCAGTCCCGTAGGTGTGCTGAAGCTGATTGGAGACCTCCTCGTGGCTGATCAGGGCCTGCAACAGCGCATATACTTCCAAGCGTGTTTGGGGCGGCTGTAGGCGGAAGTCATCTCGCATAGCGGCGACACTTTGGATGACGGATTCTCCCATGTCGGGTTTGAAACCTTTCATCGTCGCCAGCTGACGCAGAGCCTTGGCAGCAGCTAGGATACCAGCCTTGTGATCGACAGTGAACAGCCTACCGAAGAACACGGCAAGTAAGTTTACTGTAGCCGTCGGAAATCAGTCAGTATACTGTAGCCCTTGGCCTTCCGGGATGGGTGCATTGTTAAGGATTGCGGGATTATATTACCCTGTTCAGCCCGAAGCAGCGTTTTGTCCATTATTGACAGCGTGTCTGCAAGATAATCCAAAGCTGAAGGATGATAAATCACCACTGGCCAAAGGGCCAGTGAAGAGAAAAACGATCAGCATTAACAACATGAGTAGCACAGGCCCATGGAACTTAGGAGAACATACCTTTGGCTCTAGCGATGACATCGAACTCGGACTCGCCCACTGCATCGTCATCCTGTGGGACCCCTGTGGAAGACAGAGCGGCTGGCATCCATGGGTCGATGGATTGGACCCAGGCGAGGATAGCAGTGCTTCTGACACTGGCAGAACTGAGAGCTTCGGGACCGGGGCAGGCAAGAGCGGTGTCAGTCGGCCCATGATCATGTTGCCGTATAGCCCATAGGCGCGCCGTACTCACCAACGTTTGTTCTGGTGACGGCATCCTGTCGTGTGACCTCATCATCTGCCAGGACATACTGTAATGCCCAGCCCTTAAAATCGGACATGACTATCTCGAATAGCCCCGCGCCAAGGCACAGGCGAGGGTTGCGCTTGTATTGTTCAGACAATGTTTGTATCGTTGGTATCACTTGCCTATTGGCGGGCGTTGTGTTCAGGTTGGACAAGATATGACAAAGATCTGGGCTTTGCGGGGTTCGCTGCGTGCCCGTGTGTGTTTGGCCCGCCGGCAGAGTCAAATGCGCGAACCTCAACCCGCCCTTGCGGCTCCCAGTTGGAAGATGGTGATGCAAGAAAAAAAGAAACCACTTAGTACACAGGGTACTTTCCTGACGGAAACGTCTGCCTCATTATTTTGACCGAGACTCATCACGTTGTCGTTTGTGATGACTGCTGATAGTGACGCAAGGTGATTGTATTGAAGGTGGGGATAACGGAGGGCGGTGAGAGGGGATGGTGAAATCGGACCAAAGAGAGCTGACTTGATTGCCCAAAAAGGTTGTGACAGGGGTGGAGACTTTTTTTCTGCCACGCTGCTGGAGGGGTCAACATTGGCCGATGTCGGAGGGACGGGAAAAAATGGTTGTCCTTGGTGGGGTAAAGAGGCGCATTCTATTCATGCTCGGCGGCACACTCACCCCAAGTCCCTGAACTGATGCCATTGGGTGAGCGTGGATTTCTGAGCTGCTGGTTTTCGTTCTATTGCAGATATATTCTATCTCAATCCCGTCCGTCCCTCAACGGAATTTTACATTTCGATCACTTTACCATAAATCACAATGTCGTCATCTGACGTGCCCAAGACCTGCAAGGTGGTAACGGCGGATACCGTTGCCAGGGGCCTCCTGGAGGAAGTCAGAGAGACTCTGCGACAGACGCAGAAGGAGGGCAGCGCAAAGCCCTACCTAGCCGCCTTTCTCGCCAACGACGACCCGGCGGCCGTCAAGTATGCCGAGTGGTCCAAGAAGACATGCGAGGAGAAGTGAGTTTCAATCGTCGCCCATGCGTCTGAGCTGTCCATTTCACTCCCCAGGCTAGTTCCTGCCGACTTACGTGTTCACTACAGTGGCTTCGAGTTTGACCTCCGGAGGGCGGACAAGGAGTCACTTGAGGAAGACATCGTCGCTGCCAACGAGGACCCCAGTGTAGATGGCATCATCGTGTACTATCCCATCTTCCCCGGGAACCCGACCCACGACAAGTACATCCAGGAGACCGTAGCCCTCGCCAAGGACGTCGAGGGCTTATGCCACAAGCATTTGTACAACATGTACCACAACGTCAGGTTTCTAGACCAACCAACCAACCACAAGAAGTCCATCCTGCCGTGCACTCCGTTGGCAGTGGTCAAGCTCCTAGAACACCTCCAGATCTACAACTCCATCCTACCCTACGGGAACCGGCTTTTCGGCAAGACGATCACCGTCATCAACCGTTCCGAAGTTAATGGCAGGCCGCTCGCTGCATTGCTGGCCAACGACGGAGCCACCGTCTACTCCGTCGACCTGACCGGCGTACAGCTCTTCACTCGCGGCCAGGGCATCCGACAACCGCGCCACCAGGTTCTTGACAAGGACGACTGGGGTTTGCGAGAGTGCATCCCCATCAGCGATGTCATCATTGGCGGGGTGCCGGTCGAAAGCTTCAACGTGCCCACGGACCTCATCAGGGACGGTGCTGTGTGCATCAACTTCTCCTCTTGCAGAAACTTTGATGGCCCCGCAGTGAAGGAGAAGGCTTCGATATATGTACCTTCTGTGGGGAAGGTAACCATCGCAGTGCTACTTCGCAATCTAGTGGTACGTTTAAAGTTTTGCAGTTATTGCAGTATAAAAAGGTTTACATTATGGAGCTAACACCAAGCAGCGGTTAATTGCGAACCGGAACACGGTTGCTTGAGTGTAAATGTAAGGGGGGCGTGCCAGAGTAACCGCTCCACTACATAGACCAAAAGATCCAACAATTCAATCACTTCGTGATTAAACCCTCTGGCACCACAGTATATCAAGCCCCGGGATCCCTTAGTAGGGCGACCCCGTTACAGTAAAAATAAATAAAAATGTAATATAACGCTGCTTAAATACACGGTTTAACACCACCTAGGTTCGCTGCACCCTTTCTTATTTTTCCCCTTCCCGCAACAACCTACCTTTTAATCAGCGCCGACTTGCTTGCAAGCTCGACGCCCACAATCTGCTCAGGTTTACGCGCTGCGTGCGGCAATCACGTGGCCACGCGATCGGTCGTTTTATTTTTAAGCTAGATAGCGGGACGGGCGAAACCATAAGCGTGTTTGCTCGCTTTAAGACAGTAATACATCTTTGTTGGACTCCAGCCCTTGATCGAGCTTGTTAGCGTAGTCCCTAGCCAGGTAGGGGTGGGGGGAATTTCTTTTGTTATTGCTGGATCATCAGGCTCCTTGCGGACCTGATACTCTTCGTTCACGAAGCACCCAACAACATCATGTCTCGAAGGTTCACGAGGGGCCGGCGGAGGGCAAGGATGCCGAGACACGGGAGGTCTTTGACACCTAATCCAAGCTGCACGAGAATCCTTGGTGGTAAACCACGGCGTTGTCCGCCAACGGCCACAGGGCCATTTACGCTGATAGGTATTAGTACCAACCTTTGTATGGTGATAACTACTCTGCCTGAACTAATTATTTTGGCCTCTTTCCTTTCACTCCCCTTCTTCCCTTTCCCCTTCTTTCCTCCCTCTTCTTTTCTCTCTTTTCGTTTTTTCTTCCCCCCCTTTCCTTTCTTCTCTTCTTTCACACTCATCTTTTTCCCTATCCCCCTTATTTTTCATACAACACTCATTTATTAATGCAAGAAAAGTGTTTACCGCCGTTTAGCAACATATTGGAAAACGATTAAAATTAACTACGTCAAATGATTTGCTGTTTCCCTCTCATCTAAGATATATTTCCCCATTCTCGCCACCGATCAAAACGGATTCGTCTTATTCCACTCGGCGAAGCTCACGCCCGGGTTTAGCGCCATGCGCAGGTCCACATCGCCCACGGGCCCGACGGCCTCGGTGCCGTCCCAGCACCACTTCGCGAAGCAGGTGTCGCAGGCGGCGGCGCGCGGCATGCCCAGCCTGGCGCGGCTGCGCTCGACGACGGCGCAGGCCAGGCAGCGGGGCCAGTCGCGGGCCAGGGTGCCGTTACCTTGGGTGACGAGGTCGAAGCTGTTAACCATGACCTGGCGCGTCTGCTCGAGCGACAGGGCCGACTGGAAGTCGGAGTAGTTTGTGAAAGCGCTGTATGGGGCATTGGCGAGATATAGCACTATAGGGCTCTCGTGGCCGCGCTCGGGAGTCGTCGTCAGGGACGTGTCACAGCCGAAGAGGGTTGGTCGATGGTTGTAGCCACGCGCAACGAAGGTGGCGGGAGGGGGGACTTTTGGAAAAGGTATGGGTCCCTGCGCGTTAGTGAGGGACTGTAAGTACGAAGTATACAGATTCGTGCCGTTCTGCCAGTTCAAAGCCACGTCCTCGGAGTCGTCCCAGGCGATTATGAAGTCGAGGCGGCGCTCAGGCCGGGCCAGCACCGGCATGGGCAGCGCGTTGAGCGTCTCGGACCCGTCGGCCAAAACAAGCGCGTCCGGAGACCATAGAGAATTTTGGGTGAAGTTTGTGTTGCGGAAGGGGTTGCTTAATGTTGTATAGGTCAACTCCTGCAACGTATAGTTGAAGAAGGCCTTGAAGACGGTGACGATGCCGTCGATGTCATCATTGGAGAAGATGGGCGTGCGCTTGTCGAGCTTCGGGAAAGGCGGCGACGACCGCAGCGCCGTCCAGGGGGACCGCATCGTCCTCCGGACGGCCCGGGAGACGGCCCGCGACACCCCGGCCGCCGGCTTCGAGGCGGCCTCGGCGAGCCAGGCGAGGGTGGCGCGCGTCGACGACGACAGCTCGCGCTTGGAAAATCTGCCGTTGGTGCCGTTGGACTTGGAGGCTATGTACCAAAAGTTCTTGTTCAAGGTTAGTAGTCAGACCACGGACCATAACCATAAGGGGAGCATCTCTCTTACGAAGGCGTTGCCCGACGCCCCGACGACAAAGGCGACAGAATCGAAGGCCTTTACACAGAGGGACGAGTTCATAGGCTTGCCGGTGGAGAGGGGCGTGCCCAGAAACTCCATGGGCATGAAGCCGCCGCGGGGGCCCTCGAACGTGCCAAATTCGAACGGCTTTGTGAGTGGGAGGGTTGATGTCAGCATCGTACTTTGATCTTCTCTATAGGATCTTCCAGGGCTCCGTACATTAAATTCCCAATTGGTGGAGTTTCTCCTGGGGACCTTGAGCCCGTAGAATTCTTCATCCGATGCATCAAGTCCCACGGACTGGAGGATGGGGAAACTAGATCGTTGTGTCAATAGAAAGTAGCTTGAAGGTAGTAAATCAGGATGTTACGGATGTAATTGAAAATTTACCTACGGCATGCCGAATTTCCGGAACTTGTTGAGCCCGGAAATGCCACTCCAAGTAAAAGTCAGGCCGCCGTGAGTATAGGGCGCGGCCTCCCAGCTGAAGGCCTGGCCAAGGAAATCGGCCACTGATACATTAAAACGAGCAAGAGCCTTGTTGGCGAGCTGCGCAAACATAGTCTCGGGCCTCGCCGCCCACTGGCTGTCCGTGATCACGCCCGACACCCGGCTGATATTGGTCCTCCAGCTGGCGATAAGATCGTCTATGACGGGGAAGCCGCTGTGCACGTTTGTCAGAGCAGAGCAGCCAAAAGGGATGGTCAGTGAATAGACGCCTTACCCAACAGCAAGGGATGTCACCGGCCACGCTCCGCCAGACAGGCCAGAGATGTACGTCATACTTTGCAGGAGGCCGCCTGTACCAGCGGCCACCGAAGCGGGCTGCCTGGCATCAAAGGCGCGCAAAGCCCCAACCCCAGTAATCGCGGACCCCCAGCCGCCGCCGCTGATGCACATGCCGATGACGGGCGCGTCGGTGCCGGCCGGCCTGTGGTCGCAGCTACTCCCGCCGCCGCGTAGCCGCTGGATGTATTGGGCCTTGTCAAAGTCGCCCATGTCGATGCTGGCCAGATAACTCTCGAGCGAGCTGACGGCGGCGGCCTTGCGGCCGCGCACCCACGCGGCCTCGGCCGGCGAGAGCCCGCGGGCGGCCGGGCGGATCCACTCGCCGCGTTGCGGGCATTCGACGATGGACGGTGCAAGAGTGATGTTACTCGCCCGCTGGCCGGCCGCCAGCGGGATAAGGAGACAGGCGATGATAAGTGTTGGCGACATTTTGTGTTCTGGTTGAGAGGGCAGCTTCTGCCCCCTTTCCCTTTGGCCTCCCTTTTTGGGTATAATTGAAGGGGTGTGTGGGTTGTCGACAGGGGATGCTGGGGCGGCAGTGATCAGGTCGCGTCAATTCACCACCAGGATGCCCAAGACGACTCGCCGATAGACAATGAAAAGATGCAAACCCCAACGGCAAAGCGAAATTAACGTCAAGTGACATTACTCTTTATTTGAATCAGATGTGGTGGTCGAGATTTGCCGCGGCCCAGCAGGCTGGGCTGATTGCGGATCGCCAAGGTTTCACAAGCGCCAACGACCGTGTGACAGGCGGCCCTGGGCGGCAAAGCAGCCTTCAAGATCAAGAGTCGAGCCCACATGTTCGAGGCCCGGGTGGCACAGGCACCGCACCGGGAGAGACCTGCTCAGCCCGACCGCGAGCCGTCGAGCCGACGCCACCAGCTGCAGCTAGGCCCGCGCCGGCTCGGGGGTGTGTCGGCTGTGCGGAGGTCCGGAATTACGGGCATGAGAATGGTAAACATTCCTGTTCCTCTTCCTGCTCTTAGTCCTGCTCTTAGTCCTGCTCTTGTTTCTGTTTTTGTTCCAGTGTTTATTTTCATCCTCATAACTGATCCACAAACGAACCAAGACAAACGTCATAGTGGCTATTATTGGACAGCAACAACAAAGCCGGGCGCTTACACCAAGCAGCCCCCAATGCTCCCCCTCATTCATTTCGCCCACTCAGCGCTAAAAAAATCGATAATATCCTTCCCCAGGGAAGCTGGCTGCTCGTACGCCGCAAAGTGGCCACCCACGTCGTGAGTCCGCCAAAACACTGTAAAAAGCCATTAGTAATGGTAAAACCTAAAGGTTCTGCAGCGATGGAATAGTTACCAATGTTGCATTCTTCCTCGGCCCACCGCCGAGGAGCCATGATGATTTCTTCGGGGAAATGCGAGACTCCCGTGGGCCGCTCGATGTAGGCCGACGCGGCTGCCTGCACACTCGGATCCATGTTCTAGCCATCAACCAGGGGCGTCTGGTTAGTACATCTTTGACAGCAGAATGGTGGCTATGGAACCCGGAACCCGTTGAGGACTGTGCTACAACTCACCTCGCGGTACATCAGCATCCCAGTCGTTGGGCCTGGGAGATAATGTAGTAGTGTCCATGTGATGAACTCGTCCGCCGTCCACGTTTTGCCGCGTTTATCCGACCAGAACAGGAGCTTGTCCATCATCCATGAGAGCATGCCGACGGGGGTATCATGCAAAGCGTACCCCAAGGTGCGGGGCTTGGTCTTGTGCACATTCTGATACGCGGCTTGGTTCGGGAAGAACCAAGAAGTGCGAGCCAATGCCGCCCTCTCAGTCTCCGTGAGTTCCTTCTCCTCTGGCGAGGTGGGGCCGAACGCCTTGCGAGAGGCGAACATGTTCCTATGGTAGGGGTTGTGGCGTTAGCTACTCGCTGGCGACAACTCGCAATAAGGGCGACAGCGAAAAGTGGGAGGGAGGTGAAAGAAGGGTACAAGTACGGGGGACGTTACAAATGAAGCGCCTTCACTCGAGAAGGGTACGACAGGGTCAGAGCCCGCGCGACCAGCGAGCCCCAGTCGCCACCCTGAACGACATACTGGCCGTATCCGAGTCTCCCCATTACCGCGTCGAAGGCTGTCGCGTGATGAGCGACATTAAACCCTGCCTGCCGCGGGTACGAGCTGAAGCCATAGCCAGGTAAAGAGGGGGCCACGACGTCGAAGCCGGCCTCGAGCAGGATGGGCAGCATCGGCTGCACTTCCATGAAGGACCCCGGCCACCCGTGCAGGAACAGCAGCGGGATGGCGCCGCCGGCACGGGCCGAGGGGGCGGCGCGGGCGTGCACAAAATGCACCGTCAGCGGGTCGAAACCTGCGATCTCGACTTGAGTCGTGTATTGGGGCATCTCGTTGAGGCGCGCCTCGTGGGCGCGCCAGTCGTACGACGTCTTCCAGTGCTGCACCGTGTCGCGCATCAGGCCGGCCGTCACGCCGCCCTCGGCCTCCTCGCCCCAGGCCGTGTCGGCCGGGTAGTCGGGCAGCCGGGCAAGCTCGAGCTTCTTCCGGAGGAGCTCCAGCTCCGACTCCGGAATGTCGACTCTGAAGGGCGTCACTTGGCTCATCTTGTCTGTGGGACTGTTTAAAGAATGGATGAAGGTCCAAGAAATGGATAAACAGGTGTTCGTTGCCGTTCTCTGGGGATGGGGGATTGGCGGGCGAGGTAGCGTATATACCAAAAGAACGCGGACCGATACACACCAATTTGTCATCTGTCGGCTTCCGAGACTATGTCCGCCATCAGTCATGCATCTTGGCCTCCATTTCTCATTCGACGGAGTCTCCCAAAAGTGCGGGGGTTGAGCTCCACGATGACGCGCCTACCTAGGAGCCCAGCCATCCCACCTAGGGTTGCTGGGTTTGTCAACGGCCCAATTTCCATCCGCTTTACGGCTCGGGAGGTGTCGGGGGCCGAATTCTCCGTTTCGGGAATCCCGAGCCGAGGTATTAGAGTTTACGGAACGGGAATTTCATATGCTTGACCGTAGCTAACGTAAATTCTATCCAAAACTAGCGCTCGTATACGGTAAAAAAAAAAGGCTATCAAAGTAAAGAAGCCAGCAAGACGCTAGCCATGCAAGAAAGAAAGAAATAGACTGATTAACCTCATAAGTACAAGCACCAAAACGCCAATTCCCTGCCTGATTTGATACATACGGCCTTAAAACGTCCCGAACGCAAAGAGGTGAATATCATGGTGGTCGACATAAACCCATGAAGCTCACGAGAGCCAGTTTTGGGTCAAGGAATGTAGCCGATCTATGACCAACGGCGCGTACGCGGCTAATGAATCGTCAAGGATGCGGTCGAATAGCAAAAGAGCGTCAGACTCGTCGACGGCAAGGTGGAACCGCTCCTGAACCTTGGAAACGGCCTTGTCGGGCTCCAGTCGAATATCAGGGATGCTGGCATCGGTCATGAGGCTGAACAGGTTCAATATAAGGTTGCTATTTTTGCGGAGAGCGCTATAGGCGAGAAAACTGTACTGTTTGAAGGCGCGGAACTGGTCGGAACTAGTACCACCGATAGCGTCTACCATCTCGCGTGAGAGCTTGACTGCGGGCGCGAAGGGCTTGGGGTCGCGTCCGAGAATATAGCCAAAGTCGGCGTGAAAAAAGTGGCCATCAGGCGCCAGCAGGAGGTTGTCGAGGTGGCGATCGCCCACGCCGAGGATGTATGTGATTACGCAGTAGCCGGCGCACGACCTCACGAATATGTCGTGGGCCTCCTTGCGCACGCCGAGTGGCGCGCTGGCGTCCGGGTTATGGTGGCGCAGGTAGCCCAGCGCCGTGTCGGTCCGGAACTTGCTCGAGATTGACTGGAAGCTCGAAGAGGCGACGAATTGTGTCAGTCCTGCGCTCGCGCTCGTGGCCAGGATCTTGTAGGGCGACAGCTTTAGGTCGAGGTTCTCCTTCTGCAGCAGCTGGTCCATGAGTGTGATGATCTGCACCACAAGCTGGTCTTGGCGCAGGTCGTCGCCCGTTTTGAACAGGATCGGGTACTTGAGCCCATCATCGGTGCGGAAAGTGACCTTGATGGGGTGCAGCGACGATTTGAACACGGTCGTCTCCTCGGGAACCACGCTAACAATGCGTACCGCCGGGTCCAGTGGCAGTGGCAGCGGGGGCTGGATCGACACCAGCTCGTTCTTGGGGTCTGCCAGGAACTGCTTGACGCGTTCGGTGCGCTTGGCCATCGACTCGCCCGATTCCTTGATCTCAACCGAGATCTTGGACAGGATGGCGATCCACTCGGCCTGGCGCAGCAACGTCTTGCGCGCGTCGACCCCGCCAGGCTGTGCTACGAGCTCCGTCATAAAGTCATAGGCGACCTTGCGATAGATGGCGCGGTACTCTGGCAGCTGCTCCTGGCTCGTGTCGTCGCACTCGACCATAAGATACCAGTATAGGTAGTTGCCTAGCGTAAAGTTCTGGCTGGCGCGCGCGATGAGGAAGCGCGCGAGGGACGACGCCTGCGTGGCCTCGCTGTTGCCCTCGGCCGAGATGTGCTCGAACTTGAGCGCTTGCACCAGCTGCAGCAGGTACAGCAGCAGCTCCCGGTCGTCGGCTTTGCGCAGCCGGTCCACAGCATACGCCCTAATTGCCGGGTACTCGAACGTGGGGCCGAGCAGCTCAAGCGCGTCGTCGACGTCGATTTCGGTCCACTTGCCCAGCACCTGCACTGCCTGCTTGGACTCGCTCTGGTCGTGCCAGTTGACCGACTTGACGAACTTGGTCAGCGCCCGCTTGTCTCGGCTGAGATGGTAGCGGAACTTCCACACGAGGTCGCGCTCGTCGGCCGTCAGCACATGGGTAGGCGAGTAGGCCAGAATCAAGTTCAGCTCGTCGCGCGTCTTGGGGTTTGGCTTCAGGTCCTTGTCCATGACTCCGTGTCGGTGCTGCCCGCGCACGAGTCGCCGGTGTTTGCTCTCGGCAGGGTTATCCTTGGCGCCCACCTCAGGGTCGTACACCCGCACCACCCGCGCTCCCGACCGCTCGCCGGGGCTGTTGATACCGGGCCCGTAAAGAACCTCCGGCGGTGGCTTGAGGGCTATGTTTGACTGTGACGCCGACATGTGCTGCAGCGACGAGATGGGCGGAGGTGGGTACTCGTGGTCGGCGAAAACCACGGGGAAATCAAACCGGGGCAACTCGACGTTTAGGAGGAATTTCGAGGCACGCTCTTCGTCTTCCTCTTGCTGCTGTCCCGGCTCGCCTTCGGCCTTTTGTTGTAAAGCCCTCTGCCTCTGAAGGGTCCTGATGGATGACCTCGCTGTTTGCAGGCCCCGTTTTTCGAAACCGCGGAAGACAAGTTGGTCAAGCCACTCAACACGTGGGATCTCGCCCATTTCGTGCTTTTTGAATAGCTTCTCCATCCGCTCAAGCTCCTCAGCATCCTTGTCGAGAGCCACGACTTCGTCCCGGCGCTTCCTGGCCAGTATCGCGGGAGTGGTCGAATCATCAGAGCCGTCAGCCAGCTTGTGCCGATGAACTTGGCACTTTTGGCGGCCCTTGTGGACCTGGTTGTCCCGGTCAAACAGAGGCAGGGTGGTGCCGCCAAAGGGCACGGCATGACCCTGGGCGTCTTTGCCACCGGTGGGTGACAGATCCCACAAAGTGATGGCGAGTCGGGCGTTCAAAGGCACATCGCAGTACTTGAGGGGCAAAGTCAACCACTCGTTCCACCGTCGCTCGGCCTTGAAAGCGCGGTAGGTGGTTTGGACCGGCACGGTCAGCGGCTTGGAGCCGGCCCAGACCTGAACGGTGGCGTAAAGATCCGAGTTGGGGTTAGTGTTGGAGCCGACATAGCGAAGCTCTGGGCGCTGCAGCAGGGTGGAGGCGCGGTAGGGCACCTCATCGCCTTCGAGGTTGATGATGCGAATGCTGACGGGAAAGTCCAGCGCCTCGGAGCTCGCAAACGAGAAGGGCTCCGTCTCCCTCATATTGGCGGTGGGCGAGGCGCAACAGCACACAGCAGAAGCGCGGTCGGTTGCTCTGGCGGCTCAAGTTGGAGGTTTAGCATGGCGAGCACACGAGGCAAGGGGGTTGTGTTGTGTCGTCGGCGCTTGTTTTGTCGAAAGGGCGCTTGGTCCGCCCCTCGTGACGTGACTGTGCCATGGAAGCCACCGCGACTGACTGACGTACGCGGGAGCTGGCACAGTGGAGGAGCACAAGGAGCTGCATACCCCTAACCCTTCAGCCCCCCCCCCCCCCCCTGCCAGATCCACCTCGGCGCCCACTTCCCCACAGCGGCGGTAGCTCAACGCGTTAACCCTGCCACAACCTTATCAGCGCGTTACGATTCTAAACGACTTGGGTTTGGCGGCACCATCACCTACGGGATGGACATGGCATGCCGGAATGGAAACACTCACCAGCAAGTAGCCGCTCCCAGCAGAGACAGACGAGCCCACCCGCTGCCCGCGATCCCCTCCGCACAAAACGTGGCCAAGCAGCGCCCGAAACCCTCTTGCCAAGTCGGCCAAACCACCCCTCCCCCACCACCATGGGAGACCACAACGATGGCGATCTTGAGCACTTCGATCCGAACCAGTCGCTCGACGAGCGGCGCGAGATCCAGCGCGGTGTGCGCGGTCTGATGCGCAAGACGGCCGAGAACCAGGAGGACTTGCTCTCGACGAAGCCAACACTGTATGCTGAAATGCTGCGCGAGGCCGACGAGTACATGCACCAGATCAAGCAGACATTCGAGGCCACTGTCGACTCCCGCCTGATTCTCAACGTGGCAGAGACAGCCTACCGCCGATCCAACCGCTTGACCGCCGGGGCGGGGACTGTCGGCGGCGTCGACGTTGACGAGCTCGTCTCCAAGTGCATCACGTACATGAAACACGGCCGCGGCATCGCCGACGACTCACACGCCGAGCTGTCTAGCACCCAGCATCATCGCCGCCGCCGCACCGCCGCCGGGGGTGGCGGCTCGCGCGACGAAGACGGCGACGAGGACGGCGACGACGGCGACACGCTCAACTGGGCCCATTTCGGCAAGTATGCTTGCGTCCCCTACGTCCGGCGCCCCGCGCTGCCGGGCCTGCTCCTCGGCCCGCTCTCGGTCGAGCGCAAAGCCCGCAAGGTGGCAAAGCGCACGGCGCCTCTCCGGATTAACAGCCTACACGAGGTGCGGCCCGAGGTCCTGGACCCGGAGGCGATGCAGGCCGGGGCCAACGCCGAGAAGGGGGACCTGACGGCCACCTGCACACGCATATTCCGCCTGCTCAACACGGCTGTCCACGAGCGCCAGGATGCCTGTGTAAACGCTGTCGGGGAAGAGCTGCCTGAGGGCCTGCAAGAAGATGAGGATGCGCGCAGGCCCTTCTACGACCGCTTCGCCATCCGGGCCACGGGTGGCATCGACCTGCTGCGCTTCGCCGTCAACCCGCGCTCCTTTGCCCAGACTGTGGAAAACATGTTTTACATCAGTTTCCTGATCCGCGACGGCAAGGTCAATCTCGAGTTTGACGACGATGGCCTCCCGTCGATATGTGAGTTCCCAACACCTGCCTTTGTACTATCAGTCCACTGTATATTTGTCTTGTCCACGTGTCTGTCTAACACTGCTGGCAGGCCCTGTGGGTGACGACGACGACGGCGAGTCAGCCGAAAGATCTCATCCGACGCGGCACCAAGCCATCATCGAGCTGGACCTGGCAAAGTGGAGGGAGGTGATCGACGTCTTTAACATAACAGAGTCCATCATTCCTCACCGCGCCGACACGGACCACAGTGGTCCTGGGGCCCGAGGCTGGTACAGCAGCTAAGCGGGACGGCCGCGGCTGATAACGCCATATCTACGATTGACATCTTCCTCTGACTGGCACCACTGCCATGGTTGGACCCCGTCCTCTATTGTTTCCATTTACTGTGATACCCTACTTCATAGGCAACGTTTACCTAGCCTTTCTGAGCTACGATTACAATACAAGCCATTCTAGGCATCCACCTTTGGTCGATGCGGCTCTCTCCACGCTCGTCTCTCCGAGGCCCGCCCCCCCCCC